GCCTCAGCCTCCTGAGTAGCTGGGATTACAGGCACGCACCACCATGCCCAGCTAATTTTTTGTATTTTTAGTAGAGACGGGGTTTCATCATGTTGCCCAGAGTGGTCTTGATCTCTTGACCTCGTGATCCACCCGCCTCGGCCTCCCAAAGTGCTGGGATTACAGGCTTGAGCCACCGCGCCCGGCCAGCATGTAATTTCTTAATTAGGATCTTAATCACTTGCATATTAGAGCTCCTTGGCAGCCCAGGTCGCAAGTCATAATTTAGGCCTGTTGAATGGTGTTGGGAAATGCACTGTACACCAAAACCTTCAAACTCTTTATTTTTCTTAGGAGGTCCCCACTTTTACGGAATTAAGCAGAGAAAACGATGAAGAGAAAGGTAGCTTTATTTTTTCTTTTATTTTTTTAAACATAGATGCTTTTATACAGGCTTTGTTAAAAACTCAACCTGTCAATATATCTGGGAGCAAGAGACTTAATCAGTCTGAGTTACATCGTTCTTATTGATTTAATGAAAATGTAATACTAATGAATTGGATAGGATAGCTGTAGCTACAAGTAACAAAATTGACTACAGTTAAACAATTCAGAAATATCTTGCCATAACAAGAATCCCTGCATGTCGTGTTATTGAAGGGAGCTGCCAGCACTCCAGCCATCACATTCAGATTCTGTATTGTCGAGAGGATGGCAGACAGCATCTCTGGATGCTCTTCCAGAATCCTGTTAGGAGCTAGGATACTTTTCCAAGAAGACCTGCTCCCTTTAATAGATTTCCTTTCAAATGTCATTGGCCAGAACTGTGTCACATGCCCACCCAAAAAACAGTCACTGGGATTATGTTGATTGCTTTAGACAATCAGAATTTACCCCAGAGATGAGGATGGTGTTATGTCTCCTGAGCCACAGGCAAGAGATGTGGAGACCTAAGCAAAATTGGAGTACTGTTCCCCAGGAGAAGGGGATGGAGTGAGGAAGCAGCCTGTGAGGTCTGCCACAGTGACATGCGTGCAAGGTTCCTCCCATTCTGTGGGTGTCAGCTGGGGACACTTTACAGAAATGTGTGATCTCCACATAGGAACATTTTAGCTCATGTTTATTGAAAATGTCCTTGAGTTCCTCATGAATACTTTGTAGTATCTTATCTGATAAGCTTTATTATGATTTTCCTGAAATGTATGAATGGAATAACATTTTTTTCTTCTAGTCACGTTTAATTTGAGTAAAGGAGCATGTTCATCTGGAGCAACATCTTCCAAGTCAAGGTGAGCTGCATCATTCACAGGTACCTTAAAACTTTGATTTTTGTGAAATGTTGGTTACTGCATTTTAAAGTATTGTGAGTCATTTTTTTTTCAGTTGTTGTTTTCACCTTTTTTTAGTTTTTGTTGGTTTTGTTGTTCTTTAGCAATTGTTTTTTTTTTTTTTTTTAAAGAGATGGGGTCTTGCTGTGTTGCCTAGGCTGGACTTGAACTCCTGGGCTCAAGGTGATCTTCCTGCCTTAGCCTCCCAGTTATCAATATCTGGGATTACAGCTGTACCTTACTGCGCCCAGCTAGCAACTGTTCTTTCCCTATTTGCCTGTCGTGAGATGATTCCGCCTTTTGAGGAAAATCTCAATTTGATGTGTTTTAGTTTTACATAAATAAATTTTCGGTTCTCCATGAATCCTTCTCCATTTAATGGTTCTTTGTGTGCTCAATAAAACTGTTTCTTTTCCTATCTTAGCTCACTTGTCAGAGTTTAAATGTTAGCTGGGTATGCATTTTCCTTTTACTTGCTGCATTGTGAGTTTTTTGAGGGGTCAGCAAACTTTTTCTGTAAAGAGCCATATAGTAAATAGTTTAGGCTGTTTTGGCCAGATGTGTTTGTCACAATAACTGAACTTGGCTGTCTTAGCAAGAAAGTAGCTGTGCACAGTGCATAAAGGAATTGAGCGTGGCTGAGTTCCAGTAAACTTATTTACAAACGCTGGTGGCAGGTGGCAGCCGGCATTTGGCCCTTAGGCTATCGTTTGCCAAAACCTGGCATATTATATAGTCAGGTAGTTCTATCCAATTTCTATGTTATCTTCTCGTGCAAGTTTTATATATTTCACCAAATCTTTATTCAGTATTTCTGGCATGCAATGCATTCAGTTTTGTTTTGGAGGTTAAAAAAGATGAGTAAGACAAAATACTCAAGTACCAGTATCTACTGGAATTTGCTTTTAAGCTGGGTGATATTTTCTGTTTTACTTAGTACTTGACATGTTTTTTTTTTTTTTTTAAGATCTAAGTTTTTTGGATTTGTTTATAGGTCATTGTTTATTTACACTACTGAATAAATGGCTGGGAGTATGGAAGGAGATAGGCTGAATCAGCGAAAAAACTTAGATCTAAAAAAAAAAACACATGTCAAGTACTAAGTAAAACAAAATATCACCCAGCTACCTACCATCATTCTACTATACAAAGTATAGTATCACTGACTGCAGGCGTGAGGAGAAGGTCCAGAGAGGTAAAGATAGCACAGGTTAAATGCTCACACAGTGCTGATAGTTCTGTAAGAGACGTGGACAGGTATTCCATGGTTTTCACCGATCTGTAAATTCATCTTGTAACACACTTATTCTACATTGTGAATTCTGCACATCATAGAACATTCGTCTGTATATGGTTCTTGTTAACAAGCATAATTCTCCTGTTCATCAGTACTCTGGGACCAAGCGCACTGAAGACTATAGGAAGTTCAGCATCAGTGAAAAGAAAAGAATCTTCCCAGAGCTCAGCTCAGTCCAAAGAAAAGAAAAAAAAGAAATCTGCATTGGATGAAATCATGGAGGTACAGTTTATGGACTGCATACATTCAAACCTAAGGAAAATTAAATCATTTCACTATTTATTAGATGAATGAAAAGTGGAAAAATTATCATATATGGACTAAGGAGTAGTGATCTAGCTACATACAGTTCTCTGAAGCAGAGCTGGAGCCCCTCTAAATAGGTTTGTTTGTTTGTTTGTTTGTTTTTATTTTTTTGAGATGAAGTTTCGCTCTGTTGCCCAGGCTGGAGTGCAATGGCACGATCTTGGCTCACTGCAACCTCCATCTCTTGGGTTCAAAGGATTCTCCTGCCTCAGCCTTTGGAGTAGCTGGGATTACAGGCACCCGCCACCACGCCCAACTAATTTTTGTATTTTTAGTAGAGATAGGATTTCACCATGTTGGCCAGGCTGATCTTGAACTCTTGCCCTTAGGTCATCCACCCACCTCAGCCTCCCAAAGTGCTGGGCTTACAGGCATGAGCCACTGCGCCCAGCCTAAATAGGTTCATTTTTATGCCTCAGGTTCTGTCTTTAAAACTCCCTGTGCAGTTGTGGTCAGTAGAATTCAATCAGAAATTGGTCCTCTATGGTTGGCCTCCCTCCTTCAACCGATACTCTCCTGTTGACTTTGACTTCTACTTAGCACCTCCTAGCTAGAAAGCTGTGATGTGTGTTTTTTTGTTTGTTTGTTTGTTTGTTTGTTTTTGAGACAGAGTCTCTCTGTGCTCAGGCCAGAGTGCAGTGGCACAATCTTAGTTCACTACTGCTTCCGCCTCCCAGGTTCGAGAGATTCTCCTGCCTCAGCCTCCCGAGTAGCTGAGATTGCAAATGTGTGCCACCACACCTGGTTAATTTTTCTATTTTTAGTAGAGATGGCGTTTCACCATGTTGGCCAGGTTGGTCTCGAACTCCTAACCTCAAATGATCCGCCCACCTTGGCCTCTCAAATTACTGGGATTATAGGTGTGAGCCACTGTGCCGGGCCCACTGTGACATGGTTTTAATTTGATTTAGCCTGATGGCTAAGTTTACGTGAAAAATCATTGGAAATACATGATTGTCCATATTTAGGGCCATACTTCGGCTCTAAATCTACTCAAGACTCTAGAGTAATTCTGCAGATAGTTCTTACTATACTCCTAAATATCCCTTTCTCCATTCTAACACATAGCCTACCTTATCCAAGACTTAATAAAAATAAGTGGGAGAGGAGAAGAGGCAGGATAGAAGAGAAAGAGGAAATGGGTATAAGAAGCTAACTTTTTTTCTTTAATATTATTTCCTCGGTCTTCTCATCTCTTTTCTTCATTGTGAAAGGATAGAAAATAGCCGTTCAGTCTTTGGTTTTTTTTGTTTGTTTTTGAGACAAAGTCTTACTCTGTGCCCTGTTGCTCAGGCTGGAGTGCAGTGGGTGCAATCCCAGCTCACTGCAACCTCTACCTCCCAGGTTCAAGC